AAGCCCAGCTCAAATGTCACCTCCTCCGGGAAGCCTTCCCTGATCTCCCTGGCTAAAAACAATTTCTCCTTCCTCTGATCCAGCGCAGGCCTTGTGTGACTCTTGTGGCACTTTCGAACTTCATTAGCCTAATCTGTACTCCTGCTTTATCTCCTCCACCCAATGCCATTGGGAAGATCACTAAGGGCAGGGATCATCTGTGACTCTTTCTTCCTTCCCACAGGAAAGGGCACACAGCAATATGGAGCAGATGAGAGAATGTCAGATTTTGAGCCAGAGGACATGGGTCTAACCTTAGTTTTGCCATTTATTACCTGACATCTTGGGGCCTCTTCCTCTGTAAAATGAGGGGAAGGTGGACCAGATGATCTCTAAGGTCTCTTCCGGCTTTAAACCCAGGATCTCAGCAGGAACTCAATAAATATTTGTTGAATAAATCTTTCCACTGCTTACTCCTCTACCAAAGTCTTAATTCCAGTTTAGTGATTTTATTTACTGCAGAACTGGGTGGCCGGTGGTTAAAGTCAGGAAAGAGTCGTCAACTGAAGACAGAGCAACGGTAAACAGCCAAATCCAGTTTCAGATCTAAGAACACAGACATTGTTTCTTTAAAGTACTGAAAACAGAAGTGGCATCCTTCATTTCATTGTGCAGCAACCCACTGCTGGTTGGCACAAGATGGCCTTGCCTGAGGGGTAGCTCAGGAACTGTAGGTATCAATTCAGAAATGAAGACCACACTCTTTCTAGCACCAAGCAGAAGAGACAGTCAGCTCTCTTCCCTTTTGGACTGAAACATGCTTGGTGTATTTTTTTTTCTTGGGAGGAAGCCTATGATGCTGAGGCCCCCTCTTCGGGGTAGAGCTCTCCAGATTCCCATGAAGTTCTTCTATGAGCAGAAATGCTGCCTGGTGGCCGTCAGCTACGATTCCCCTTCCCTGATACGCATGGGGCCGAGCCAGTTGGCTGTAATCCTTCCTCCCCCACTGGAAGTGAGTCAGTCACAAAGATTAGTGTACCAAGTTTGGGAAGAATTCTGAGGAAACAGACCTGTTCAAAAGTTCCTGAATGCCCCAGTCTCTTTCCACTGATGTCCACCCCAACCACTGCTAATGACAACATCAGGGCTTCACTCTCATTACCCCACCTTCCCACAGGGTGGAATGAGCACCATCTGTGCACATGCAGCACCATATTGTTGCCATAATGACAAATCAAAGCTTCTCCAAAGAGGTGTGGATTCCTCAAAATGCTCCCCACGCTGTCCAGAACTTGGCACCATCCTGCTAAGTAGCAGCTCTCTGGATGAGCTGGAGAGTTGGACCTCCACTTATCACATTAACCAGTTTAAACTCCCTAAGACAGCTACAATGAGAAGGGAAAATATATAATGATGCATCAGTCTTGTTACACTAAGTGGCTTAGTGTCACACTGCTGGGTGTGATATCAGTGTTTGAGCCCCCCATGTGTCAGAGCTGAGTTTAAAACAACATGGAAAAGGACAGCAATGTCTCAATGGGGAATGTACCATTAACCACAGCAGAGGGCCGCTTTCAAGCCAAAAAGCCCTGAAAAAATTTCTATTAAGGTCTCAATAAATCTGACAGGAAAACAGAAGGGTCAAAAGCTTTCCCCAAGAGCTTAAGATAAAATGTCTCATCAGTTAGCAAAGTTAGTGGAAAGATGTGGGACCCATCTGGGTGAAAAGGCCTGCAGAGACGGCGTCATTGTCTTTACACAGGGCAACAAAAGGGATAAATGTGCCCTTTAAAAATGGCTAAAAACGAAGAGACCCGATGGGTTTGTCCTAACACTGATCAGAAGCAGATGCCTGTTCTTACATAGAACAGAGCCAGCTGATACTCCCAACACCTGCTCTGTACTACCTGCTGGCTCCACTTATAAATAACCATCACATGCTGCACACGACTTTGTTATTGTTGCTCAGTTGTTTCAATCACGTCTGACTCTCTGTATCCCCATTTGGGGTGTTCTTGGCAAAGATACTGCAGTGGTTTGCCGTTTCCTTTTCCAGCTCATTTTACAGGTGAGGAGATTGAGGCAAGCAGGGTGAAGTGACTTATCCAGGGTCACACAGCTAGGGAGCATCTGAGGTCACATTTGAACACAGGTCTTCCTGACTCCAGGCCCAGTGCTCTATGCAGTATGGCACCACTGAGCTGCTCTCTCATAGACTACAATCCCATGGTAATGTGCACACGGACTAACCTCGCTAGATTCCTTGTATGCTCCCTGAGAAAGGGGCTGTATCCGGCTTCTCTTAGTATCTTTCCCAGTGCCTAATGCTGTGTGCTTCATAATACCAGGTGCTTCATAAACACTTGTCTGCTAAGTCTCATGCCACTGACCCTCCTTTCCAGCCTTGGTGTGTTTATATCAGCACCCTCCTCCCTCGACAGCCCAGCAGCCTGACCTCCACTCTTCAGCTCCAGTACCACCTTCTCTGGGAAGCCTTCCCTGATTCCCTCGGGGGTCAGAGTTCCCTCCATCCTCAAACTGCCTAGGATTCCCTTGTTTCCACACAGATTGGGAGGGCAGAGTCTGTTTTTTTGTCTTTGTGTCCCTAGCACCTAGGCCAGAACCTTGCCCACAACAGGAGCTGAATAAATATTTGAACAGAATAAACTGAATGTCCATTCAATGGTGTGGCTTCCTGCCTTGATTACCAGCCATTACCATCCATGGTCCAGTCACTAGGAGGAGACAGGGACTAGTCCCTGATCAAGAGAGGTGAAAAGCACATCTATATACACCCAACAATGAAGGAAAACCACGTTCACGACTAATTCTCAGAAGAGATAGATTTCTCGGCAAGAAGCTGATGAAGGGACGCTTTCGTCTGTGCCTCCCCCACCCCCTTCTCAGCAGGGACTCAGATTTCTTTTTTGATTTTGCCACATGCTTCTCAGAGAGGAGTGTTTGCGTGGGGTCTGTCGAGGAACTGAAAGGACCCCCGGCACTCTCAAATGCTCTCATCTAAGAGTCCACAGCGATCAGGAGGCTTCGTTCCCTGGCTCATGCCCCAGACACTGTTTGGGGAGAAGACAAGTGACCTTCCGATCACACAGTGACCAAAACCGGGTGATCTGACATAGGGGCAGCGGACCCAAAGGAGGGGGCATCAAAGTGTGTCACAGAAAAGTCACCTTCCCCGTGTCTGTCATGTGCTCTTGGCCGCAAAATAAAACCTGAGCATTTTAGGACTCCTGCATCTCAAACAAGTCTCTTCTGGGTTGTGACAACCAATGGGACTGAGCCCTTTTTCACTAGAGTCTCTGCTCCTCTCCTTCTCGGGGAGTTTTAATAACTACTGACCGTCGTCCCTCCGGGTAGGAGTCTCAGGGGCCTGTCAGATGCACTCTGTCTAACCCTACCATACTTTGTCTACTGTTTCACTTGGTGATCTCATCACTCCCATGGATTCAATTATCATCTTTATGCTGATGATACCCAGATCTACTTACCAAGCCCTAACTTCCAGACTTGCTTCTCCAACCGCCAACAAGACATCTCCAACAGGATGTGGACATTTTAAACTCAACATGTTCAAAACTGAACTCATCCTTCCCCCCAACCAGGGGTGGGGAATCTATGGCCTTGAGGCCACATGTGTGTAGCCTTCTAGGTCCTTGGGTGCGGCCTTCTGACTGAGCCCAAGGTTTACAAACAAATCTTTTTATGAAGGGGATTTGTTCTGAGAAGTTTGGATTCAGTCAAAGGGCCACACTTGAGGACCTAGAGGGCCACAGGTTCCCCACCCCTGCTGGCCTAAACTCTCCCCTTTCTCTAGATTTCCTACGATTGTCCAGGGCACCACCGTGTTCCCAAGCACCCAGGCCCATAACCTCGGTCTCACCCCCACTGCCTCACCCTCTCATCCCCCTCCGTCCAGTCTCCCTTCCCAACATCTGTCCACAGCCCCTTCCCTCCCCTGCCACCCTCCCTGCCTCGTCACCACGTGACTTCTTTCAAACTTCAGCTCAGGTGCCACCTTCTCAAAGATGCTCCTGGTCCTCCTTAACCTTCGTGCCTTTTCTCTGAGATGCTCTCCAATGTATCCTGTGTGGATCTTATCTGTACGCACTTGTTTTATGTCTCCCAATCAGACTGTGAGTTCCTTGAGAAGAAAGACTGGTTATTTGATTTTTTTTTTCCTCTGTGTCCCCAGAGCTTAGCCAGACAGTGGCACATTAGGCACCGAGTACTTATTGACTTAATTAACAGCTATTTTTCTTTGTTTCAAAGGACAGATTTCAAATCTTGGGGTGGAATATACCTGGGAATGACTGTGATAGTAAAAAGGGAGGCATCAAAAATATCTAATAAATAAACTGAGGCGACTAGGTGGCACAGTGGATAGAGTGCTGGACTTGAAATCGGGAAGACCTGAGTTCAAATATGGCCTCAGACACTAGCTGTGCGACCCTGGGCAAAGCACCTGACCTCTTCTGGCCTGTTTCCTTCTCTGTAAAATGGGGACAATACCAGCACCTTCTTCCCAGAGCTGCTGTGAGGACCAACTGAAATAACATATATAGAGCACTTTGCAGACTTTCAGGACGTATATAAATGATAGTTATTATTATTATTAATTCAGCTACACAGTATGTTTCCTGGAGACATCTCATAGCCAAAGATAAAAACACACCTCCCAGGAGAAATCGACCGTGTTTTCACCTGTTATACCAATTCCTGAGAGTATCTCTCTCTGTTTTTCTCTCCTTCTCTCTCTATTTCTGTCTCTGTCTGTCTCGTCTCTCCTCTCATAATATCACGTTCTTTGTCATGTAAAGTCCTTTTTCAACAATTTGTCTGAACCACCCACAATTGAATTTCCAAATCTATTTTTACAAGAATAAACCTAGGATCCACCCTTTGGCCCACGACCACTGTTTCTCAGAGAATGCAGGATTGGGTTGTTTGACTTTTCTGGTGTAAATGGAATATTCCCTGGTTACTCTCTTTTTCTTTCTACCTACCTGCTCTTCAGATGGATAGAAGCCAATTGCTCTCATTACAAAAGGAAGCTCGCTCAGGGGAATTTGTGTTGACACCTTTCTGGTCTCCATTGTATCAATACCCTGACTACGCAGCTGAGAATAATAAAAATAGTCCTCCAGTTCCTAAGAGGGAATACAAAAGAAACATGACAAATTTAGGCTTCAGGCTGCAATACCCACCAGGCAACACCTCTCCAGTCTTTTGTAGGAAGTATATCTTGTAGGTATTAGGATGAAAAGCTTTAAAAAAAGGCACTGCGGTTCGTTCTGGGTACATTCTTTTTTAACAATCTAAACCGAGGTTGCCAGGAAGTGTTTACTGTGAAGACAATTACCTTGTAGAATTCTCCTTCTCTGCCCCCATCCAGCAGACCATAGAATGGGGTCAGATCTTTACCCCCCAGGAAAACCGCTGCCTCCAGAGCCCTGGAATAACAAAAACATCACTATTAGAGAGCACTCATGCAAGAACAGACTTTAGATGGTAGTCTGCCCAGCGCCAGCAGCTGCTGAGTGATATTAGACAATGAGGCACGATTAAAGTCTTGGTTGGGTTGTTAGGAAAAGGCCCTCGGAGATCAACGCAAAAACTTAAAATTCAGATTCCAGCTCAGCAGCCAGCAGGATGAGAGCGCCACATTTGAAGGCAGAAACCCCAGTTTTGTTACATCCTAGTTATGCAATCTGGGACCAATCCCTCTGAGACTCAGTTTCTTCATTTGTCACATGTGCAGAAAAATACCTATGCTGCTTAAGTCACAGGGCTTTTGTGAGGTTCAAACGAGACAATGATGGTCAAGCACTTGATAAACCAGAGAGCAAAAGGCGGGAGTGTCTATTACGGCACACGCCCAGCACAGGGCTTTGCCCAGAGGAGGTACTTAATACAATGGCGCTAAATGTGAACTTAATTCCTGCGGTGCTCCGGCCCTAACGATGAGGCCAACACTAGAGCTGCCTCTGCACTTCTGTGCCCTCACCCTCCCCAGCCCACATGGGATAGGCAGCCGAGGAAGGTCTATCCAAGCACAGAACTTGCCCCTTTTCACTGGAGAGAAATCCCATGTTCTGAAACCAAAGCCCACAGGGTCCCAGTCACTCATCTTTACAGAGGCAGAAATGGAAGCCCAGAGAGAAGTTGCCTGCCCAAGGTCACACAGCTGGGAAGTAGGAGAGCCAGGGATCTGGGCCTCAGGTCTTTGGCTACAAATCCAGGGCTCCCCGCTCCCCCCAGAAGGCCAGCAGGGCTCCCCACTTCCCCTAGAAGGCCAGCAGGGCTCCCCGCTCTCCCCAGAAGGCCAGCAGGGCTCCCCGCTCCCCCCAGAAGGCCAGCAGGGCTCCCCGCTCCCCCCAGAAGGCCAGCAGGGCTCCCCAATTCCTCTAAAAGGCCAGCAGAACTCCCTGCTCCCCCCAGAAGGCCAGCAGGGCTTTCTTTCCACCATAGGTCAACCCTGAGTTTCAAGGAGGTTGTTTCCAACACAGCCAAAGCTCCCCCAAAGCCACCATCAAATAACAATCACAGTCAAAGAGTAATATCCTTGAGCTTTGGAACACAGGGTCAGAGTTTCTGAGACAGAACATCTGAACAGTATGAAGGCCTGCTTCTCCATAGGCCATGGTGCACAGATAAATAGTGGGGCATTTAATAATAGCTGACAGTTCCATGGTGCTTTATCATTGTTTCCTGAGTGCTTCTCAGGCGGTCTCTCATTCAATGCTCACAACAGCCCTGTAAGGGAGGGCAAGTTGGATCTCCGATCTCACTGATGTGGCTATTCCCTCCAACAAGGCAGATCCCAACCCTCCCAGGCCAGCTCATCTTGACCATGGCCTTTCATGAGTTCACCACAGGGAGGTCCACCCAATGTGCTGGTGGCTATTCTTGAATTCCCTTGACATTGCAAGGACACCAATGGAGCATGGGGGCTTTTAATCGGTTATATTTCCACCTTGCCACCTGGCCTGCCCATCTTGCTCCATCGCACATTTTTTGATGATATCATTTACACCACTTCTTCTCTCTAATCCCTTATTTATAATGCATCATAGACTGCTCACACCCACCATATCTATGGTATGTCTCCACTCTCCTCTGGGTGATCCTCAGTTCCAGTTCTTTGGAGGCTGAAGAGTTCCATGACTTGTAGCAACACATCCACACTGGATGAATAACTGACATTCAAAGATGGCCCTTTGTTTTAGAGGAAAGCTTGGGGTTATTCAAAGAATTCTGCAATTTCCCAAAAGCAATCTAGCCTGCTCTCCTTTTCCAGTTCAACTCTGGGCCAAATTCATTGTCCATTTTCACTGTCTCTCCAAGTGAGATGTACTAATGGAAGGACCCTGTAGTTGGGCTACCACATTTAGATATACGGGCCGCACGCCGACCTTCTGCCAGTCGTGCGCCAGTACCCACTTCTCTTAAAAGAAGTGCACCGCCAGAGTCTTACCCACTCCTGGGTCTTCGGTCCTCAGCCGGATCACCACACAGAGACAAGCCATCGGGAGGCACCAACACCAGAGCTTTATTCAGAGGCCAACACAGCAAACCATCATAGCAAGCCCAAACAGCAAGGCCAGAGCAACAGGGCAGGAGCCAGGGGAGAGCGCACGTATGTGATCTGACCACGCTTGTTCCTAAGTACCTACTTCGCCCCTCCTCCCCAGCCCGCTACTAGCCAATGATTGTAGGGTCAGATACCGGAAGGGGCTGTCTGAGTTTAGCACACCAAGGGGGAGGGAGTGACGTAGGAGGCTAGGATTGGATACAGGAAGGAGGCATCTGGGATTGACGCATAGACAAGAGTACGTGACCTAGGAAGTCAGACTCAGGAGGGGACTGGGTCAGTGCTGCACAAAGGGACCCGGAGGTCAGGAAGGTCACAAGAGGCATCTGGGGATGACGTTGCATATAGGGAGGGGACTAAGCAGAGGGAACTCAGTCCTCTGCCATCCCACTCCCACGTGGCACCGCCCCTTGCCTCAGGAGCTCAGGCTCGGCTACTTCCTTGCACCCAGCTTATCTCATAGCACTGCCCAATTGCCTCAGGGCTTCTCCGTATCCAGCCCATCCCAGTACACACGACTCTGCCTACCACAGTCCCTGCCTCGACTTCCAAAATACCCAGATCTCACCTTACCCTTGCCATAGCACCCAACCTGGTAGCTGCCAACATCAGACAGTCCCTCACATTTAGACACTAACATCATGGTCTCATATGTATCTGGGCATTGCCTCAGACAAACTGAGACCTGGGAAAGACCATAGCTCCTCACTGCATCCAGGGCCATCTCCAGTCATCCTGATCTGTATCTTGCCACTGAACCCAGATGGCTCCAGAGGAGAGAGTGAGGCTGGTGACTTTGCATAGCCCTGCCTCACTTAAATCCAATTCACCTGCAAGTCATGACATCACCTTCCCGATGTCATGGTCCTCTTCAAGAATGAAGGACAAACAATGACAACAAATCAGTTGGACTACCACATTTAGACACCAACATCATGATCTCAGATGTATTTATAGAGGAAATGGAAATGGCACAAGAGAAAACAAGAAAGGGAAAAGCACCTGGACATGACCACGTATTTGCAGAGGAAATCTGCGCTGGAGGTAGTGCCCTTCTGAGTGTGATGAGTGACTGATCTCAAGGGCAGTGAAGGAAGAGGAGACGCCAAAGGCATGGGAAAAGCCTGGGTCTTATTACTACCAACAAAAGGGGACCTAGGGAATACCAATAGCTATCACCAGCCCATAGGAAATACCACGATATGATCACATACACACACTGAGATGTCTTTGATAAGAGCATTTGCAGGAAACAGGCAGGCTTTCACAAATGATACTTCACAGCAAAATTCCGTCGATCAAATCACATCTTTACTATCCTACTATTAGCTGAAAGATAGTAGGGAATACAAGCTCCCTCTGGCTTATTGTTTATTGACTATAAAAAAGCACTAGATTCAGTAGAATAAAGTGATGTCTTAAAGGCTCACCTCCAATCAGGTTTTGCCATTCATGTGGCATATGATTACTGAAAGGCCTAACAACTGAAATAATTTTGTTCAGCAATCTTCTGGTCACTGACATCAAGTGAGGTATGAAACGGGGAGATATGTGCTTGCCAAAGGTGTTTGTCACTGACATGTAGATCTATGGGAGTCCACGTTGAAGAGGAAATTGAAGTTTCTTACCCTTTGTTTTGTCCTGGACCCCTTTGGCTGTCTGATGAAGCCTATGGCTCCTTTCTCTGAATTATGTTTTTAAGTGCATAAAACAAAATACATAGGATTACGAAGGAAACCAATTATACTGAAATGCAGTTATCTAGAAACCTTTGCATTAAGATTAGGGAAGAAGCAAGATGCCCATTATCACTATTATTATTCAATATTGTACTAGAAATGTGAGGTATAACAAGAATAGAAAAAGAAATAGAAGGAATGAACATAGGTAACAAGGAAACAGAACTATCACTTCTTGCAGGTGATATGATGGGTCACTTAGAGAATCCCAGAGAGTCAACTAAAAAAACTGTGAAACAACTAACAATTTTAGCAAAGCTGCAGGATATAAATCTACCTGCCAAGACACACACAAGAACTTTATAAGCACAATTACAAAACACTTTTCACACAAATACAGATCTAAACAAATGGAGAAACATTATTTGCTCTTGGGGTAGGCCAATATAATAAAAATGACAATTCTACCTAAATTAATTCATTCAGTGCCATACCCATCAAACTACCAAAGAGTTATTTTACAGAGTCAAAAAAAATAATAACAAAATTTACATGGAAGAATTAAAGGTCAAGAATATCAAGGAAATTGATGAAAAAAAGCAAAGGAAGGCAGCCTAGTACTATATCTCAAATATACTACAAAGCAGTAATCATCAAATCAATCTGGTACTGGATAAGAAATAGACTGGTTGATGAATGGAATTGATTAGGTACACAATATATAAAACCAAATGACCACAGTAACCTCGTGTTTGATAAACCCAAAGATCCCAGCTACTGGGGCAAGAATTCGCTATTTGACAAAAACTGGAAAGCAGTCTGGCAGAAATTAGGTATAAACCAGCATCTCACACTGTATACCAAGAGAAGCAAAAAACAGGCATGTGAATTAGACATAAAAGGTGATATCACAAGCAAATTAGGGGGTCATGGAAAAAACTACCTGTCAGATTGATATAGAGGGATCATGGGAGGTAAGATGAATAATTTTTATTACATTAAATTAAAAAGTTTTGCAGAAACAAAATCAATGCAGCCAGAAATAGAAGGAAAGCAAGAAAATAGAGAAAAACAATTTTATGAGAAGTTTCTTTGATAAAGGTCTCATTTCTCAAATACAGAGAGAACTAAGGCAAATTTATAAAAATAAGAGCCATTCCCCAATTAATAATCAAAGGAT